TTTCGACCTCGCATTGGTCTTATCAACACCCTCAGCGGGAGTCGAACCGCGACAGGACAGGACGGTAGCTTGACACGCTAACCACTCGGCTTCACTGCCACGAGTAACCTTGAGTCACAGGACATAAGTGAATTTCAAGGAAAGTTAGGCCTCTTTGCTATTTCATATTCTTTCGGTGGGAGTGCCGATGAAGCAAACGTATATTTGCTATAGCAATCGACTACGTTACCTATTTTGGTATTAGAGTAGAGTTTCGAGACTACCAGCGGTTCGACTCCCGCTGAGGGTGTTGATAAGACCAATGGAGGTCGAAACTGCAGTCCACTGGTGCCTGGATGAGAACAACTTTTGGGAAAGCAAGGCTATGTGAAATCCAATGGAAACGTCATCTCAACTCATTTCATTGTGGGAAAATTCTTCTACCAGTCCTTAATCACCTTAGACGAAATAGGGTGAATATATCTCATAAAATTTCTTCATTTTGAGGAAGTTTATTCTTGCTGTAGGTTGCATTCTCTTCCAGAATCTGCAACAAAAGTTTATTTAAGCGATGAGATAAATGACTCTATAGAATTTACTTTCTTCATAAACTTCAAGCCATTTTGGAAGATTGTAGGCGAGCAAGCCTGAACTGCATAATTTGTGAAAAGCGCTAACAATAATTGGATGCTTTTTACAAGCCCACTTTTTATGGGACCCAAAAAATGGCAAAAGAAGTGCATCGTTCTCTTCGGGCTACCTTATCTTCCGTTTCCGCGTGTCTCGACTTACGGGAAAGGCAGCCCAGTGTGCCCGTTCATAAGACTGGAATGAGGGTGAAGCGAAGTGTAGGTAGAATCCAATGCTGATTGTGGCTGCTCCCAGGCCAATCTGCATGGTGACCAGAAGCACATTGATTCGGCAGAATTGCAGTTCCAGCTTCTGGGCGCCTTGTTCTATCACCGACTGTCTACGCCCAGAGACTTGTTGAGCTGGCATTAGTCGGTTGTTGAGGCTAGCCCGGCTAATACTAATATTGTTGCTATGACCGATGCTACTGTTGGTGCAGTCAATACTGTTGATTGAGCATGCAGTCGCTAGACTACCCGTCATAGCATCGACTCGTGTGTGCCCGGGTACCGATGCTGTCACAGCAACCGGCGGCAAGAGGAGACCCCCGTCGTGCCCAATCGCCTTGCCAACGACAGGATTGGCCGAAGCCAAGTGACGCCAGTTGGCCGCCCGCCGTGCCTGCATTACGGCACGGCAACCACCACTCGCACCGCTAACAGACAGTCTGGTAGGTGGAGTCTGATGCTTTTGGAAATGATGTGATGCAACCCACTCTTGTTGGTGCTGTTGTTGCTGTCGTTGTTGTTGGTTAGGGGATTTCAAAGGCAGTAGGTTGCTCGATATTTTTCGATTTTTGATGCTAGTGATGCTAGAAGACGCCTGGTTGGTATTTCCGGGTCGGACATGATGAAGATGACGGTGAAAGGAGAAATCGGAATCTCGGTTGGTTGACTGGAGTCCGGGAGAACCGGATGCGACTGCTTCTTCCGGGTCAGGCGAAAAGGTCTTGTGCCTGCCTACCGGCCAATCGGCAGTCGCCTGTTTCTTCCGTCTCCGGCGGCGATTCGCATTTGCAACCGGCTGAATCGGTCTGGAGGCACTTGGCGTCCCAGACCGGCCACTGGTGGCGGAGGAATTGGACTTTTTGACCTGATGCCGCGGTCTGTGGGCCTGCGGCCAGCGGATCAGCACAGGTGCCGAGGCCGTGCGCCGACGCAATGGTACAGAAAGATAGTGGACGGAGTCGTCTGGCAAGGCGGCTACTCCTGACGACGACGTCGGCAACTGTTGTGGCTGCGTCCTTAGGAAGCTGGCGTTGAAAAAGGACTCGAGCGGACACGCCAATGGCTCTTCTTGCTGAGCCTCACAGTCCGTCTGTTTGGGTCTTCCGTTCCGGGCCGGCCAGTCCTTGTTCTGCAGCAACGAGGCAGAGAGCACAATTGTGGGCTTCGACGGCACAGCTACCGTTGGCGCTGGTTGGCTCTCGTGAACCCCTGGCGAGTTAATGATCCTTTCGGGCGGCGACAAGAGGCCTAGGTTACTCAAAGTGTCGGGCTCCGATGCGCTGTCCACCAGCTCACCGGGCGCATTCAGATCGCCGGCCGGACGAGAAGCTGCCGTGTCGGTGAACCCATCGGGAGAGCACGCAGTTTGGCCGACTGAGCCAGCTGTTGTCGTGACAACAGTGCACCTCGACTCTGTTTTTGTGGCTAACCGGTTCACTGTGCGACGCGTGGCGCCAACATAAACCCATGGTCCGTCATCCAGATTGCTCATTGTGCAGGTGAACAGTGGGCGAAATGCTAGCAACTTCTGGCACACAGACACCTTTTGCCTATTTCCACTGGGACGGCTTGTCCACCTGTCCTAAAGGCATAGCCTGTCTTGACTTTGCATACAGTGTCCAGTTGTCGACGCGCCTGGCACAAACAATAATGCAGGATAACTATTAAAAATTAGTTTAAACAAATGCACTTTGCCAATGCTTTCGCCTCTCGTGCCTTTCTATCTCTCGTTCTCCTTTCCAGTTCTA